TCATCAAGGGGTGGGGGTTATTTCTACTACTTTACTTTGGTGTATGTTTGACATTTTTCATAATAAAAATTAAAAAGGCAGTAATTATTGAACTTGTAATACATAAAAGGCACCACCAACACAGTTCATTAATCACTGAATGCCCAATTTTTCTTATTTTAATTTGGAGAACAATAACAGAAACACGTTAGCATGAATCTATAATGTCCTGTGTGTTCTGGCTTATGCCTATTTTCAATCTCACTAATGACTACTGCACCAAGATGGAAAATTATGCTTTGTATTTAATATGCATTTGCATAAAACTGCTATTAATTTTGACTTCTTTTTTTATTTAATGAGCCCCGAGGGGCTTAGTGGGTTAAAGCTTCTGCCTTTGGCTCAGGTCATGATCCCAGGGTCCTGGGATTGAGCCCCACCTTGGGCTCTCTGCTTGGCAGGGAGCCTGCTTCCCTCTCTCTCTCTGCCTGCCTCTCTGCCTACTCGTGATCTCTCTCTGTCAAATAAATAAAATCTTAAAAAAATTTTTTTTTATTTAAGTAATCTCTACACCCAATGTGGGGCTCAAACTCATGACCCTGAGATCAAGAGTCACATGCTCTTCTGACTTAGCCAGGTCCCCCAACTTCCTTTTTATTTTAATTTTAATTTTAATTAATTAATTAATTAGTTAAAACCCAGGTGCCCCCCAAAGGCTACCCAGGTGCCTCCACCCGACTTCTTTTTTAAAATGTTCTGCCCTGTATTCTTATTTCTTGAGTTTAGTGACATTTTGTTTATTTCAATTCAACACATATTTCAGCCTCAACATATTAGGCTCAGGAACAGCTGAGAGGGTATGTGATTTTTATACATATCTATGAAATATTCATTTATATATAAGTATATATAAAAATGTATAAGATATTAATAGATGTTACAGAATTGATAGATGTTATATTAGCTATATGAAAAATATCCTACAGGCACCCTGAAGAGAAACATGCAATCAAAAACTTGATCAATAGGACACCTAGGTGGCTCAGTTGGTTCAGCATCTGCCTTCTGCTTAGGTGATGATCGCAGGGTCCTGGGATCAAGCCCCACGTCCGGCTCCCTGCTCAACAAGGAGCTTGCTTCTCCCTCACCCTCTACCTGCTGCTCCCTCTGCTTGTTCTCTCTCTCTGTCAAATAAATAAATGAAATCTTAAAAAAAAGTAAAACTTGATCAATAATGTCAGAGGAAGGACAGAATTGTCTTTATTCTTTATAAAGAATATTAAAAAATATGAAGAGACAATCAAAGAATGTACAGTCAAAATTGTAGAAAACAAGTATTATAAAGGTATATGGGATGTTAACTCATAAAAAATGTTATTTTTCTGGATTTCAGGATGTTTGTGTTATTTGTCAGCTTCAAAAAACTTATAGTTATGTCCTCTTATTTCAAATAAATATTCACCCCCACACCCAATTTTGTATTTTTTTCTTTCTTTTTTTAAAAAATTTAATTTATTTATTTGACAGACAGAGATCACAAGTAGTCAGAGAGGCAGGCAGAGAGAGAGAGGAAGGGAAACAGGCTCCCTGCTGAGCAGAGAGCCCCATGTGGGGCTCGATCCCAGGACCCTGAGACCATGACCCGAGCCGAAGGCAGAGGCTTAACCCACTGAGCCACCCAGGCACCCCTGTATTTTTTTTTTTTTTCTTAAATAGGTCCTCCTCATTATATAAACCTCAGATGCCACATAGCCTGAATCCACTTGGGTGCCTATAATTTGCTAGGCATTGTTCTGGGGGCTAAGGATCCAACAGTGAACAAAATAGAGAAAAAAATCCTCTTCCTTATGAAGCTTATATTTAGAAAAAACAAAAACATAACAAACAACGGAATTCAATAGTACATTAGAAGGTAAGTGTCATAGAAAACAGTTGTGAAGGGTTAAGAGGTTGGAGTGTGCAGGGCAGGGAGCGTGGGTGAGCTGTAATGGCAGTGTCAAAGTGGTCAGAGTGAAGTATTATGGAGACAGTGACTCTGAGCAAAGACTTGAAGGAACTGGTTATTGAGAATATCGGTGGAATCTAGTGTAGCATATTAGTTTAGTGGCACTCCATTATTCTCTTATTCAGGTCCTGCTATAGAGAATTTGAAATAAAATAAGCCCAAGAACCCTGTACTGGTGGGGAAAGCAGTAACAGTTGGATCAGGGTTAAGAAGTGAATGGCCGCCTGGGGCACTGTTTATAGAGATTGGTAATAAAGAACACAGGGAAAGTACAACATCACTGAAAAATAATGAAAAGGGGAATATGATATTTACTAGAACATCTCTGGTAGTGGAGGTGAGACCTCCAAGGGGCATGGCACTGAAGGAGACATAGTGTGATGAACTAATGCTGAGTAGGGTGAGGCAATAGGGAATCACATCTGAAATGTGTGGGCAAGAAAAGGCTGCTTGCTGCCCCTGATAGTGACACTGGTGCTTTCCCACCCTTCTCACCCCTTTAGCATTCAATCGTGCTAACAGAAGTCAGAAAGACAGCTAAAAATGTAAGCTTAAAGTATACATTGTTGGCTTGCCCTAGAAGTAATAACTACGAGAATGAGATTATAATTGTGAAAATTTTAAATATTCGTAGAGCACCATGTTTGTTTGTTTTTCTTTGGCAGTGGAGATATAGTGGAATAACAAAAGGACAAGTCAGAACTGGAAATGAGTTCTGAGTCTACCACTTAGCTGATTAGCCCTGGGTAAGCCAGAAAGTGAAAAGTTAAATTTTATCATCTATAAAATGGGGGCAATAATAAGTTTCTTTTATGGCAATCAAATGAGGTAATTGTGTTTACATGAACTTAAAAAAGGTTTTATTTATTTGAGAGCATGAGCTCGGGAGCAGTGGGGAGGGGCAGAGAGAGGGAGAGACTCCCCCAGAGCAGGGAGCCCTATGCAGGACTCTATCCCAGGACCCTGCGACCATCACCTAAGCTGAAGGCAGAGATTTATGTTCAGCCAACTGAGCCACCCAGGCGCCCTAAATGAACTTTTTAATCAACAAAGTGTCATATTTTTGTTGGCATAATATTAAAGCTACAAGATTGTTCACAGTTGCTAGGTAAGGATCACAGTTATGAAGTATATAATAACTTAAGTTGTAATTATCAGTGAATAGTTAAGATAGCATGTAAAATGGTTTAAAAATCTCTGTTTATAATCTGCCTTCAGGTCTATTCGAGGAAACAATCTAAGACTTTTCAATGTCTTTTAAAGGTATATTAGAACAAGAAACAGACATGCTACTTTTTTTAATTTAATATTTTATTTATTTGACAGAGTACAAGCAGGGGAAGCAGCAGGGAGAGGGAGAAGCAGGCTCCCACTAAACTGAGGCCCAATCCCAGGATCCTGGGATCGATACCTGAGCCCTGAGGCGAAGGCAGACGCTTAACCAACTGAGCCACCCCGTCGCCCCCAGGCATATGTCTTATATCTCAAGATCAAAAATAGGTATTTTGTTTTCTTACTCACTTGAATGGATACTGAAGGAGAGACCATTAACCAATGAAGGTTCATCATCAAAAATAACTGGCTATTTTCTCCAAATTGCCAGCTAGGCAGAGGGATTCTTAAATGATACTTCTTGTCAGCAAGAAAGATGATCCCAAGAATGAACAAAAATAACCTCTGTTCAACAGCTGTGATATTTATAATTTATAAACTGTGATCACCTCTCATCAGATTGTCTTGGTGTCTAAACAAGAATGGATGTCTGTTTGCCATTTGTATATTTATCACTTCTCAGAAAACAAACTTTTATCATATCTTATTGTTCCTGATCAATGCATTTCTCTCTTCATATATAAACAGCGTGATAAGAGGCTTCTTGTTCGAGGAACATGACCCTGCAAACTCTAGGGTCATGTACAATGTTAAAAATGTTCAGCTAACCCTTAAACATTTATTTCCAATCAGCAAATACTTTTTAAGCCGTGAAAGGCATCATTGAAGACTAGGACAACATGGAAGGAAGAAAGGAGAGTGGGAAGTGATAATTCATTACGAATTTCTTGTCGATTTTTAATATTCTGCCTGGGCGTCATGCTTCTAGTTTCCTCTTACCGTTCTTCCCCCACTTCTACTCCTCTTCAACCGTGCCCTTCTATTGCCCTTGCTCTTTGCCATTCTCTTTGTGCTCTTATGTATATTTGCTTTGCTCACTACATTGTTTCCCTCGTTTCTTTCACTACTTCCCTCTCGCGCAGCTCTATGACAAGCTATTTCTACACTTTATACAAGCATGTGCTAAATTACAATTGAGCAAATTTCGTGACTGTACTTTACTGCAGAACTTAGCGCAAATTAGAATGGAGAGCTCTGGGGGGAGGCGGTAGGCTGTTGCATCCACAGGACGGGAGAACCGATAATTCTACGTGGAGGAGAACGGAGGAGAGCACAGGATTGTGTCCCGCATGTGCCACGACCTGCAGCAGAAATACCCCGCCCGTGACTCAAGAAACTTCCTCGCAGCGCTTCCCAGACTGACCTCCGTTCCAGGCCCTTCCCCACCGCCGCCTCCCCTGATTTTCCCTTACACCCACATTTTAGTCTTTACGTCCCTCTCTCCTCACGCGGCAGGCCCGTTTCTCTTCAAATTCCACTCCCACCTCGCCGCACGCCGAGATTACGGCCCTCTCGGCGCCCACGTTCGCTTTGCTCCGTTTCTCACAGCCCACCCCGCGCTCGGCGACCGCGCAGGTGGAGGGGCGGTCCCTCCGCCGCCTCTCCCGGCACACAAGGTGGCCCCCGGCCCTCCTCGTCCCTTCCGCCGCCCGGCCCGGCCCACAGCCGCCGCGGCCGCCGCTCGCGCCCGGACGCCCCCACGCCGCCGCCCAGGCGCCGCGTCCGCCTAGTGCCCCTCGGCGTCTCGGGCCTCCCCCGTCCGACCCCCCCCCGCCGCGGGCCCGCTGCACTGTGGGTAGGCGGCCGCCGCACTGAAGAGCCCGCGGCGGCGGCGGCGGCGGCGGCGGCGGCGGTGGCGGCCGCACTCGCGCTCGCACTGAGGAGCCCGCGGCGGAGCGAGGCTGCGCGCGCTGAACATGGCTGAGAAGCAGAAGCACGACGGGCGCGTGAAGATCGGACACTACGTGCTGGGCGACACGCTGGGCGTCGGCACCTTCGGCAAAGTGAAGAGTTGAGTACGCGCCCGAGGCCGCCGCGCGGGGCTGTCCGCTCGCGGGAGGCCGGGCCGAGCGGCGGGAGCCCAGCTCCCAGGGCCGCGGGCGGGCGCGGGCCTGGCGGCAGGTGGAGCGGGCCCGGGCGCCCCGCGAGGGCGGCGGGGCGGGGAAGGGCGGCGGCGCGGACGACGGGAGTCCCGGGGTCTGTGGGGCGCTCGGGGACCTCAGAGCCCGGGTGCGTGAAACCGGAGGTCGGGCTGTTGGGCAGGGTGCCTTGCAGCTGAGACGGCGTGGGCAGCGCCGGGGTAATACCCGCCGCTGGTGATTGAGTTTCCAGCGCGCCAGGTGCCCTGCTGGGTGCTTCGCGTGGGATCTCATGTAACCCTCACAGCCGCTCAGTGCAGGTGTTGTCCTCACCTTGACGGTGAGAAAACGCGGACCCCTAGAGGCTTGGGGACGTACCCAAGGTCACGCAGAAATTGGCAGAACCAGGATGAAGTGTAAAATGTCTTCCAGTTCTGGCCAGGCCGGGGACGGCTCTGCCGTCCGACTCGTTGGTGCTCCAGGACTCGGGCGGGGTTGCTGGGGCCGATGCTTTGGGGCAGGTTCCGGGGGACTGGAGGTGGGGGCGTGGACGCAGGAAGGCCTCTGTATGGGCTCAGGGCTTAACAGAGCTGTGGGTCTGAAGGGGGGCTTGGCATGTGGAAGGAAGCCTAGGAAGTCTTCTGGGATGGGGAGAGGTTCCTTGGGTTTGGACCTGGGAGCGTTCGGGACTGAGGCGGCCAGAACTGCTAAGACATACTTTGCTGAGGTCTCGGTGATGGGATCCCATTTTGGGTGTAGAAAAACAGGCTCCTTAAAAAAAAAAAAAAAAAAAAAAAATTTAACTTGTTACTAGTTAAGTATTGAACTTTCCCCCTTTTGGCTGTTTATGAGTCACATGGGATTTAATTAATCTGTCCTGTCTTCTGAACTAGAGCCAGCTAATTAATATTTTAGGTTTGATTGTTGTAAATTCAGAATTATAAGTCAAACGTTAGCTTTTTTTCTTTTTGCTGTAAAGATATTGGGTAAGCATTCTGGAGATTTTACTCCAAGGCCTCTATTTCCTTGAAAAACTCGTATTTTAGCCTCAAGCCTTCCATGTTGAATAGGTAGAAGGGATTCATTCATTTCTATGGCAGAGATCAGCTTCTATTTACTTCCACATATCTGACGCTCTTCTATTTGGAAAACCCTTATTGAGCACCTACATTGTGCTAGACACCGTTTTAGGCAGTGGGTATACAGTAAGGAACATAAACCACATTAAAATCTCTCCTTCTGTGGAGCGTGTATTCCAGTAGGGGAACACAAAAAATAATCAGAATATGTATGTAAGATATGTAGTATGTTTAGTGCTACTGAGAAAAATGAATGGGGGAAGGGAGAATGAGTTTTGTGAGGTTAACAATTTTCAATAAAGCGGTCAGGCAAAGTCTCACAGTCAAGGTGGTATTTGTATAAAGACCTGAAAAGTTGGGGCGCCTGGATGGCTCAGCCAGTGTCTGCCTTTGGCTCTGGTCATGATCCCAGGGTCCTGGGATTGAGCCCTGCACGTGTCCCTGCTCAGCCGAAAGCCGGCTTCTCCTTCTCCCACTACCCCTGCTTGTGTTCCCTCTCTCGCAGGGTCTCTTTCTGTCAAATAAATAAAATCTTAAAAAAAAAAAATGAAAATAAAAACTTAAAAAAAGACCTGAAAAGTTTATTAAAGTCTTTGAAGTCCTATGTGGGCGATAAAGTCCCGGGGTATTTATGAAAGACTTCATAAATTGAGTGGATAGCTAAGAGAATCTGTTCAGAACGAATATAGGAAGATCCAGGCATTAGGTTAATGCCTGGAAGGTTACCTGCCATTAAATATCATTACTGAGGACTACTGTGTTACCATATTATACAGTTACTTAAGCAAACTGTGCCTTTGCCATCTGGGTATGTACACTCTCAAAATTACATAATTTTGCCTACATCCTTTCAAACGGTGTTAGAATGTTTGTCTTTTTGAATTCTTTTACTGTACTCTGTATGTAGACTAAAACACCCATCAGATCAATTGGCCCATTGTCAAAGGCCGTTGTAAATCTCTTTTGCATATATTCTTGTGCAGCTTCCAGGCATTGGCTTCTTAAAATACAAACCAATGGAAGGCACATTGGTTTATGAGAAACCTTTTTCCTGGAGGACCCAGTGTAGCGAGCAACCAGTCAGAAGGGTGTTTTTAACACTATGTTGGAGCCCCTCTAATTTATGCTATGATTTCCTACGAGGATCAGAATTAGTACCATTGTTCAATAAAAATGATGGAAGTTGCTACATTTCAGTCATTTAATTCTTCAGGGGACAAGAAATAAAAGAACATGTATTTTTAAAAATAAAAGTACTCCTTTATTGAGGTATATTTTACATATTATCCACCCATTCCAAATGTACAATTCAGTGATTTTTTTTGTAACTTTACTAAACAATGAAATCGTCACCATAGATGGAACAAACATCAATTTTGAAACAGTTTTATTGCCACAGTAAAGATCCTTCATGCTCATTTACAGTTCATCTTTGTTCCTACCACCAGCTTCAGGAAACCCTTAATCTGTTTTCTGTGTGTATAAACTTTTCTCTGGACACTTCTGATAAATGGAATCATTCAATATGGAGTCTTTCATATTTCCTTTAACAGTGTTTTTAGGTTTATGGATGAGATTGCATGTGTCAAGAGTTTCTTCCTTTTTATTGCTGAATGATATTCCATTCGTGGATATGCCACCTGTGTCTATACCTTCACCAGTTGTTTTCACTTATGGGCTGTTACAAATAATGCTACCACTAGTAACTGCATGCAAGTCTTTGGGCACATGTTTTTATGTATCTTGGTTAGACACCTAGGAGAAGAATTGCTGGGTCATATCGTAGTTTCCTGTTTAGCTTTCTGAGAAACTGCAAACTATTTTCAAGAGTGGTCCTACCATTTTACAATTCTACCAACAGTGAATGAGGGTTCTCCTTTCTCCACATCCTCACCAAGATTTGTTGTAGTCTGTTTTAAACGCATTCTAATGGGTGTGAAATTATGTCCCATGTGGCTTTAATTTGCATTTCCTTAATGAGTAATGATATTGAACATCTTCAGGTACTTATTAGCCATTCATATATCTTATTTGGTGAGATGTCTGTTCCTACCTTTTGCTTATCTCATGAGCTGAATTATAAAAATTCGTTGTAAATTCTGGATTCGAGTCCCTTATTAGATGAAATTTGTAAATATTTTCTCCTAATCTGACTTTTCATTTTCTTAATGGTGTCTTTTGAAGTAAAGTTTTGAATTTTCTTAAGATCCAATTTATTGATTTTTTTTTTTCTTTTTATGCACCTTGCTTTTGGTGTTACAGCCCAGAAATCTTTGCTTTAGGTTTCAAGGATTTTCTCCTAAGTTGTCTTCTAAAAGTCTTCTCATTTTTATTGTTTCAGCCCTTACATTTAAGTATATGACCCATTTTAAGTTGATTTTTGAGTATGGTATAAGATGAGGTTCTAAGATCAGCTTTTTGAATGACTATCCAGTTGTCCCAGTACGGTATGTGTTGAAATGTATGTGTTGAAAACACTTGCACTTTTAATTATTACATAGATTTAGACTTTGTAAAGTTAGTTTTTACTAAAAAATGTAATAGGTGATTTAGTTGTTTATATATATATATATATATATATATATATATATATATATATTTAAGATTTCATTTATTTGTTAGCGCACAAGAATGCACGAACAAGGGGGAGCTGCAGACAGAGGGAGAAGCAGGCTCCCTGTTCAGCAAGGAGCCTGATGCAGGACTCAGTCCCAGGACCCTGGGATCATGACCTGAGCCGAAGGCAGACACTTAACCAACTGAGCCACCCAGGCATCCCATGGGTAATTTAGTTTTATATGGCTGTAAAAACATGGAGATGGAGGAATGAATAGTTTTTTTTGCCCTTTCTCTTAACTGTTAGGCTAATTGTAGATTTTGAAAAATTTGACTTCCCTTGTAGATGTACCAGTTTATAGACTGAAATTAGGTACAATAAGTGAAAATTCAGAGTGGCATAATTTTCATTTGATTGCACTCATTTCAAGTAATTTTTATTCTTTTTAAAGATTTTATTTATTTATTTGACACAGAGGAAGAGAGAGAGCGAAAGAGAGAGAGAACGAGACGGGAACAGTAGCAGAGGGAGAAGGAGAAGCAGGCTCCCCACTGAGCAAGGAGTCAGATACCAGGACTTGATCCCAGGACCCAGAAAGATCATGCCTTTCATGACCAAAAGCAGCCACTTAACCAACTGAGCCACCCAGATGCCCCTCCAGTTATTTTTAAAAAGTATGTAGAAATCATACGTAAAAAATATGTGGAAATCCTCTATTTGGTGTTAAATAATGGAAGGCTTATTTTAAATGTTCTAAACTGATTTTCTTCATTGTTCTGTTGTTTTGTTAGATTTCCAGAGGAGTGCTATCAAAACAAATTATGGGGGCTGCTAGGATTTAAAAGTAATGCTTTTTCTTACTTAAATTTTTTCTCCACATTGCTTTAGTTCATACTCTTTTCAGGACAGGGTAGAACTGCTATTTATGAGCTCTTGTAATTAGACTTGTTTAGTTCTTACCTAAATAGTAAAGGTGATAGAAATGCTGGAAGAATAGATTTGTTCCTTGTGTTATGAAAAGACTGGTTCAAGAAAAAATATACGTAATATAATGCTAATTACTTATTTAAAAAGAAGCCTACTTTTTCAAGGTGAGTACTGATAGATTTGCTTTATGAAATATTTATTCTTCATCAGAATTGTACACCAAGAGATACTTTGCAATCACAGTAGCCTCTTTCTGGCCAGTAAAGTCTCATCAAGGAATTACTCTCTGTTTTTCAGAGTTATTTGAATGACCCACAGAATTGGCTTTCAAGAAATTAAGTATTTATTTTACTAATTCCTCACTTATTT